CCCCCCCTCCCGCTTCCCCTCCCCCTTCCCCTCCTGCGGGCATCTCCTCTCTCACAAGGCAAGGCTGGAGCTGTTACAAAGGAGGTGCAGGACACAGACCGGCCTGGACCATCTTCCCAGGCCCCAACCCCTCCCGGATGAGGGAGCCGAGGCTCTCACCAAACTGATGTTGGACAGAGCTGGTGTTTCTTGGGCTGGTGCCTTGACCTTTATGTGGCATGTTCACATTTCCACCCAGGTAGCAGCAATTTGTGAGCTGACCTCGCACAGCGACCTTACAAGAGGATTCTGTCACTAAAACAATCTTTGGCCTAGATGAACACGCACAAAGCCCAGGTCTCGGCTCCCATATCATTCTCCAGCCAAAGGAACCGGGTTCTTTGGCAAAGCAGCAGATCCTGGGAAGAGAGCAGGAAGCACAAGATGATCCTGCAGCATTGCGTCATGCCAGAATGTAGGGGCGTGTCCCCCCCCCATGAACTGTCAAAACACAGATACACACTAAAAAAAGGTGATGTCAGAGGAGCACAGGGCCCAAGAGGACTCCCAGGGTCAACACTGGAACAACTTTGAGCAATGAAATAATTATTAGATTATAATGCAACACTAAGTATCCGTGAATCTATAAATAAGTGGGGGAAGAGACAAAGCTCTGTGCAGAAGAGTTCCAAATTATTCATGTGCATTCTCAAAGGGTGGGGCCCAAGTCCCCCTCCCTAAAGGTGGCTGTGCTAGGACTTCCTTCCAAAGAGGACAGCACGAGGTGAGGTGGGGTGGGGTGAGCAATTTCGGCCACTCAGCAGGGTGAGGCAGGCCACGCCCACAGCAGTAGGTCATGTTGACGGGACTTGCCTTTGAGGTGCTCTGAAGGGGGGTCCCACCTTCTCTGTCTTCCTCCCCCAACCCCAACAGCCAACGCCCACCTGAGGGATATTCTACAACGTGCCTGCCCCGTGTTCCCCAAAGCTGTCATGAAAAACAAAGCATGAGAAATGGTCACAACCAGGAGGGACTAAGGAGACTGCTGGGACCCCAGGGTGGGACCCCCAGAAAAGGACAGTGAGTGGAGCTACGGGAACTGAACAAAGCCTGGGTGTGTTAGCACTAACGTGCGCCTACTGGCTTGTTAGTTGTGATAAATGTATTTCGCTGGCGCTAGAGGTTAGCATAGGAGACGCTGGGTAACTGTCCTGACTATCCTTGCAACTTGCATCGAAAACTATTGTAAAATAAACAAGCAACAAAAACAAAGAAACATCCTGTGTCTTACGAAAAAAGGTCACCTTTTGCTTGCCTGTTTCTAGATACACACAAATCAAAAACACTCCCAACACCTTATCAGAGGAGCAGGTTGCAGAGAGCGGAGCTGGGGAGTGGTGGAGGGATGGCGCGGGGCCAAGGTCACACAGACGCTTGGCTGGGCGACTCCTGCCACGCACATGGTCAAGTGCTGTCTCTCACTGGTACCGGAAGGAGGGGCCCTTTGAGCGCTCACCTGGGGGCCACCCACAGGGTCTGTAACTATAACAAACAACCAAGCCCTGTACTGGCAGGACTTCAGCTCAGCCAGAATACTGACACCGGGGGCCTTCCTGCACCCCTGAAGGTCACACGGGCAGATCTGCTCTCCTACTGGCTCTGTGACCTTGAGCCAGTGAGCTAGCGTCTCTGTGCCTTGCTACCTCATCTAGAAATGAGGGCACTAACACCTACCAGATAGGAGCAGCTTTGAAGATTGCATGACCAGGCAAAGGACAATTCTGGGGGAGTACCGGCCAGTCTGTTTAGCAGATCATCAGCTTAGGGTTTGGTCTCTGCTTGAAAATACAGATGCTCACGGGGTGGGGGTGGGGGGCTGGGGGGAAGAGAGGGCACAGGAGGGTCATCTGTCCACTTCCGTTGTGCTGAGGGCTGACCCAGCCCCCTGCAAGGGGCGGGCACGGTGTGGTAAGGGCCTGGCCGAGCCCCTTCAGCGGGCACCTGTGGTGTCAGTAGGAGTCTCCACGCATGAGTCACCCCTGGGGTCAGATTCAAGACACTGGACACAAGTGTCCTTTCAGGGCTCTGCCTGGAGCTGTCTGTTTTTGTATGCAGCACTAACACCTACCAGATGGAGCAGCTTTGAAGATTAGTATGACCAGGCATGAGCTGCTTGGACTTACAAGAGCTGCTTGGACACCTCCCTGGGCAGGGCTGAGGGTCTCTGGGCCTCTGGCTCTCCCTTGGGCTGAACTGGGCTTCACGTCTTGCTCTAACATGGGCTAAGCTGGAAAATGAAATCACGTAGCTCCTGCCTTGTGTGGCAGGGCCTGGGCAACCTGGTCACTTTTGTCAGCTCCCCAGAAGCAGCCTCCCCCAGGCCGTCTGCCCAGATCGCCCCTACTAGCTTTGTGAGCTGGAGCAAGTGAGTTAGTGTCCCCCATCTGGAAATGAGAACAGCTCTGCAGCGCCTTATTCGTGGGCTACATCTGGCCAGAGCCAGAGCTCCCCATACTCAGGCCAGAAAGGAGGTACTGGAACACCGATCCTCACTCCCACAGTCTCAGCAATGGCCATCAGGAGGGGGTGGATCCCAGCAGCTTCTGAGCTTGCCCCAACCCCCACCCACCCCCAGTTCCCACAGGGCCCAGCAGGATTCAGCTCTTCTCGCAACCCAGGGGAAGTGTGTGACCACGCCTCTCATGAGCTGCTTTCTCTCCTGGGATTTATTTATTTGTATATTTATTTGTGCATACAGAACTGGGGTACAGGCCAGAGGTGAGGGGGGTGAGAGGACTCACCAGAGACAGAGCGGGGAGCAGGACACGCAGGCTGACTAAGTACACTGCTGAGGGGAGCAGTGGGAGGGTCAGGAGAGGTCTGCTGCGCCATGTGGGTCAGCTCCCTGGCCGGGGATCGAACTCGTGCTGCAGTGGCTGCAGACAGCTTCACAGTGCTGTGCTTTAACTCGTTGCGCCACGAGGGAGGGCCTTTCTGGGTTTTACTTCCCCTACGAGTAAATGTGCTAATTCCCACTAGAAGCAGGGGCACACGTCTGGGCTGAGCCCGCACAGGAAATAGTGGGACATGAGTGGAGGACGCACCACACACTTCTGGCAAAACTGGCTCTGGAAGCAGTCCGGTGGTGGCCAGAGGCGCGGCACTACTGGGAGCAACCGGTGCTTTATCTTGGGTGATAAAACACTTTGGAGCTAGACATTGTGCAGCTGATTTTCAGGTGATGTGAACCCCCTTTCAATGATCAATACAAGCAAAGATTTCTAGGAAGAAGATTCAGTAACAAAGAGCAGGTAGAGATTTTTATTAAACACTCTGACTTTATCACTCTGTCCAGTCTGCTTTTGTTTACACCATAAACTCATATATATGTATCATTTTTATAATTAAACTGATTTATAAGTAAACATTTTTTTAAAAAGCACAGGTACGAGAAAATGTGTGTGCCTGCAAGGTTTTGTGGGTGAAGGAGGTTGGAGGGCTTGGGGGTGGGGATGGTTGGTATTTGATGAGCTCTGACTCATCTTTCACTATCTACGGATCTGACCCCTCCCAAATAAGCTGACCCTACAGGCAGGGGGAAACTCATGGCCCAATTTCAAAGTGAGGATGAGAAAATTTAGGCCACTTGTCCGGTTGCTCATTGAGCCAGACCCAAGAAGTCTTTGGCTCCATCATTCATATTCCTATGTAAAACAGGGGTGTCAAATGATTTCTCAGGTGCCTCAGGCTCTCAGGCTCTCTACCCCCATCCCCAAGGCTGTCTAATTCCTCACTGTCAGCCCTGTCTCTCAGTTGCCCAAATGCCCAGTCAGCCATGCCTGCCACCCAGTAGAACCCAGTCACCCAGTCAGCTCTCCCAGTAGAACCTATGTGCCCTCTCACCAGAGTCCACTCTTGAGCTCTGGAAAAAGCACCCTATCAAAAGACTGAGAAAAGAAAGCAAACAGTGCAGCTGTCCCAGGGGACCCTGGTACCTGTGCCCACCCCCCACCACGAGGTGGAGAGACCCCGACTCACCCCTGCTGCCTCCCGGTGCAGGATCCCAGCTGCCTCGGCCCGGCCCAGACCCAGCTGCAGCCACACGGGGCAGGTTTTAACCAGCTTCTCCAGAACGCTGATGCCCCGGCGAGACAGGCAGTTCTTGCGTGTGACTGGCAGACAAGGCCCCATGCCGTCTTCCTGCTCCTCTTCTTCCTGTCGCTTGCCAGTATCTAGAATAGGACTGAGAATACAACCAAATGATCAGCCTGTCCTGCAGCCAGCCCAGAGGGAGGTTCAAGAGAACACAGGGGCACAGATCTGAAGAGGAAAAGATAGATAAGGTGGATCAGTGATCCATAGGTAGATGACAGGTAAGCAGATAATTAGATGATTGATAGGCGCATGATTGATAACAGGTAGATGATTGATAGATGATGGATGATAGAGAGAGTTAGGTGATAGGTGAATAGATAGATTATAGGTAGTTGATTGCTAGATGATAGATAGGGAGGTGGTTAGATATATAATTGATAGAGGTGGATAAATATAGAAAAACACATAGGACCAATAAAAGGGGGAAATGGTGACTTTGAGTAAACACCCCAATGTAGATGTCTGGGGAAGAAATTCCAGACACAGGGAACAGCAAAGGCCTGGAGTTCCCTGGTGCATGAGAAACCTGGGTGGCAGGGGCCGGCAGGGTGAGTGTTCATCCCTGTATAAGAACACTTTCTGGGATTTCGAGCTAGCCATTGGCCTACACCGCAGGCAGGCATCCTTGGCAAGTAATGGGCCCACTAAGACCTGGCAGGGTCTGAGGGGCCTCTGGATGTCAGAGAGCCTTGAGGACCCAGAGGTGAGTCTACGCCCCATCCCTGGAGTCTGCCAGCGCCCCGAGGCACATGCAGGTTGCTGCTTTCAAGTGACCAACTAGAAACTTCCCCCAGGATCCGCATCACAGGGATGGTGCCGGTGCCGTCTCTCACTTGTGATAACCCCTTCACTGCCCTAAAATCTTCAGTGGCTCCCGCCGCCTGAAGAACCCAGTCCAATCCCCTAGCACTGAAGGCATGGCTTCCTGAGGCCCCTCTGCAGGCTTCCCCACGAAGTGCTGCTGTGCTGACCCCAGCAAACCCTGCACTTCCCCACCCTCACTTCTGCTCTGGCAGCTGCAGCGCCTGCAAGTTCTCTGTTACTGGCTCCCAACATCCTCTCTGAAGGGCAGGGAAATGCTTATTGAACTGAACTCAGTGCAAGAACATAAGTGGAAAGATGGGTAAGTAAGATCTATCAAAACATAAACTTCTACCCATCAAAACACATTGTTAAGAAAAAGCACTGTGCAAGTTACCGGGGGGAAGAAATCTTTGCAAAGCATACATCGAACAGAGAATAAGTAGCTTGATTTTTAAAAGGGGCAAGATTTCAACAGAGACCTCAAGGAGGAAGACAAGTGGCCAATAAGCAGGTGAAGTGCCCAGCATCACCAGTCATTAGGGAAATGCAAATCAAAACCACAATGAGACACCACAACACAACCACTAAAATGGTCAAAATTAAAGACTGGCAACATAGCACTTTAGGAGGAAGAGAAATAATCAGAACTCCATGCATCTTTGGCCAGTGGTATACCACTTTGCAGAAAAGGCCATTTTTTATAAGTTCTAGATAGCCCTACTCTGTGGTCTGGACATTCCACTCCAAGATGTAGATCCAAAAGAATCGTCAAGTGTATGTCTACAAAAAAACAAAACAAAACAAAACAAAACAAAAAATCCTGGCCTGTTCCTAGCAGCTTGATTCATAACAACCCAGAACTGGTCCTGGTGTCCATCAACAGGTGAATGGAAAGGAAATGTGCCATATCGCACTGTGGAATAGTACTCAGCCGTGAAAAGGAACTGCTGAGACATACAGCCACACTGACGATCCTTCACATTAGCACACTGAGTGAAAGGAGACAGATGCAAAAAAGAAAAAAAAATACTATAATTCATTTATCTGGAGTTCAAGAGATACAGTGAAAAATATGTTTATATTTTATCAGACACAAATTTTATACCAACCCAATAAAAAAGAACCATAGATAACTCTCATTAATAACATGCATGCAAACATACTTGAGAGGCATCTGGAACTTCCTTTGAAATGCACATAAGAACTATGGATTCACGAATGGACAGACATGGAATAATGCAAATGTATTAAAAACCTTAAGAGTAAGGGCCCTCCTTGGTGGCACAGTGGGTTAAAGCACAGCATTAAAAAGCTAAAGCCACTTTAGCATGAGTTCAATCCCCGCCCCAGACGTGACCCACATGGCGCAGCAGACCTCTCCTGACCCACCCACTGCTCCCCACTGTAGTATACTTTGTTGATCTGCCTGTTCTGCTCCCCACTTTGTTTCTGGTGAATCCTCTCACTGCCTCTGCACCTCTGGCCTGCACCCCAGTTCTGTGTAAATAAACAAATCTTTGAAAAAAAAAACAACTTTAAGAGTAAGTGGTAGATATGTTTGTTTATTGCAAAATTCTCCAACTCTCTGTAATTTAAAAAAAAAAACTGTAATGAAATAATGGGCATAAAATTTCCCCTTTCAAAGGGTCCCTAAAAACAGGCTACATGCATGTTAGCTCAACTGAAAGCCCAGTGTTTGACTCCAAGGCTATGTGATTTCTGGCTAGTTACTTTACCTCTCTGGGCTTCTTTACCTCTTTGGGGTTAATTACTTGTAAAAAAATAATAACCCTTATCTAACAGGTTAGATGAGACATCTGTCAAGTTCTTAGTCTACATAATTCAGAAAAAGTTAACTGCTATTTTTTCTCTCTTCAACCCTCAACAGGAGTTATTTTCCTCCTCTCCATATTCCCCCACTCCATAGCCTTGGTGTCAGGACCGACCACATTTGATTAGAGTGGGGTGCACATCTGTGTGTTGCCTTGGTCCGTCCTCAAGACAATATCTGGCCCCAGAGGTTCCGCACAATTTCAAGTGCTGGGAACCACATGGCTTGACATCAACAAAGCAGTCGATTTTCTTGGCATAGATACAAACCGCTTGGTGGATCCTATTTATGTCTAGAGTCCATGGTGTGCTGCTAAAAAGGCAGTAGAGCCTGGGGTGACCCTAGAACCTTCAAGGCTGAGCACCCAAGGGCTAACCTTGGCAGCTCAGACTAAACCCTGGCAGGCGAGGGCCTCTTGGGATACTGCTTTCCAGGAACTGCTGGGCTCTTCCAGTGTCCTCCTTTCTCCCTGGGTGGGCCAGGGCAGAAGTCACACTGCCTGCTTCAGCCCGGCGCTGACTTGGCAATCCCCGGCCTCCAAAGTTGGAGGGGAATCTGTAAGCCTCAAAGCCTGCAGCTCTGCGGGGAAGCTGGAGACAGAGGAGCTGGCGCGGGGAGGCTGGGCTGTGGACGAGTGGGTTCTCGGAAGTGACACGGGCACCTGCCCTGACGGCCAAGAGGGGCTGTGTCGCAGCTGTTCCTAAGCCCTGAGTCCCTGTTGACTTTGGGTTGTGGGCCCTGGATGCTCAGGTATTCAGTTCTGACGCACAATGCCCTGCCCGATATGGTGCTCCGCGATGGAGCTCAGGATGGGGTGGTGTCACTCCTGCAGGGGGCCAGCGTGGGAGTGCTGGGGGCTGAAGCAGGTCCAGGTCCCCAGGCTGGGACAGCCTGACCACACCAGCTCCAATAGCTGATGACCCTCACTGACAGCCCCCTCCGGCCCCGTAGGGGGCGTGTCTGTCACCTGCTGCAGAGTCAGTGACTCACCAGCCAGGCCCTTCCTCTCAACAGCCAAAATCAGCTGAGAGTCCTGCAAAGGCGGCCACAGGGACCTCGGGTGATTAATGGTGCCGTTAGTGTAAAATAATGAGCCCCAGGAACACTGGAATACTCCACCGGAAAGAGAACGTTCCATGACTCAGTTTTCCTGCTCCGGAGCACAGCAATTAGCGCTCACCACAGTGCTACCGGCCTCACGCCAGGCTGCCCCACCAGAGGCAACAAGCCACACCCTGGGCTGCAGGGAGCAGGCTGGACTCAGCCCCCTGGGGCTATCTCACCAGCTCGCTGCTGTGCCCAGCCCCAGCCTCTCAGGCGGAGGGAGCCTTGGTGAACTGGGGAGCACGCTGCTCCAGAGAGGAGAGGCTGACGGGTGCCCACTCCCAAGTGGCTGTGGTCTGCAGGGAGGAAGGGACTCACGAGGTGCAGGCGCCAGCTTTGGGTGGCCTGGTGCCCCCAGGGAAGCAGCCCAGGCAGTTTTCATGATGCCTCATTGTGAGGAGGACTGAGGCCCCCTTGTGCAGACTTGGCCCGAATCTGGAGGAGTGTGGGCTGGAAGCGGAAGATGGAGGAAAGGCCATCTCTGTCCCACCCACGATTCTGACCTCAGGCCTCCCAACTTCAGTACAAGGGGGGGCAGATGCCTGGTCCCTGCACAGAGACGACACGGGGTGGGGGCAGGTGCGAAGGGGCCCTCGGGTACCCCACTCAGTCACCCTCACCCACGGGGGCCGCATGATGCCTCCCCAAATAAATGATTAAACTCTGACCCAGGACCTTATTTGTCAAGAGGACCTTTGCAGGATGAGAGCATCCTGGACTGCGCTGGGGTCCTCAGGCCCATGGAAGATGATATTTTAAGTAGAGGGGAAGATGGGAAAGTGGAGTGAGGCCACGGGAGGCCAGGCTCGCCGGCCAGAGAGCAGCATGGAACAGATTCTCCCCCGAGCCTCCAGATGGACCCAGCTCTGCTGACATCTTGATTTTGGACTTCTGACCTTCAGAATCATGGGAAAATACATTGTGTTTTAAGTTGCAAAGTTTGTGGTTATTTGTTGCTAGGAAATTAATCTAGTTACCCTATGCCCTATAAACGAGAATAGTCTCACGAAAAGATGAGGACCCTGAGGCACCGAGAGCTAAGGTGCTAACTCAAAGCCACGCAGCCGATACGGGCCAGCGCACGGGGACCCAAGCTCCACAGTCTGGAGGGACGTGTCCCTCCAGGGTCTGTGCTGAGAACCATTATAGTATTCTGGCTCTTGAAGTCATTTTTAAATGTTCCATGGTTATGTTTCTTCTAGCATCTGACAAAGAAAGAGCGTTCACCCGTGTTGGAATTCTATTTGGGAACATACTCATCAGAGTCATATCCACAGAGACCCTTTCTGGAAATGCAGTCATTTCTGAGAAATGTAAAGGGCTTGTTTCAAAATTTTATACTAAG